TCCCAGACACTCTTTCTTCCCATGTAGTGGATTCCTACTGGATCTGCAGAGCCCGACTCAGTTGTCACTCCTGTTCTAGGGGTGCATCTCCCGCCGCCGCCTCCCTTTTCCAGCTGGTCTCTTTCGCAGGCTGTTTGCTCCATGTCCCGTGGCTCTCCCTGCGGGAGAGTTGTGGGTGGTGGTGTGTATGACCATCTTGTTCCCTCGGGAGCTTTCGGAGTCGGGGGACCATGTCATTGTCACTCTGATCACTGGTTCTCTGTTGAATGTAGAATTGTGGGTTACTGTTGTCACGTGAAGTTAGCCACGCGGGAAGAGAGTATGTTGGAGGTGGGTTCGCTGTTAACAACCTTCTGTTTCTGTGCTGGATTTTTTGATCCTTTTCTTGATGCAAAATGCCTTAAACAGTTTCTTTTCTTTCTCTCTTTTTACCAGATTGTGTCTACTGTACTTTGAACCTGTAAACACAGTCACTTAACATTCTACTTAATTTGTATTTAGCCCGTTTAAAGACAGATTGGTGTTTTGTGAAAATCCCTGACACTCGGGCAAGCACTCACAGGTCCATTGTGTGTTTTGAATTTACTTATGCCCCAGCCTGTTCTAAATGATGACTATACCGACAGTGCTCATTATTTTTAGTAGATAACCCTTGGGTAACTAGTTAGCATAGAGAGGGTAAATCCTTATTTTTCCTGAGTTGTAGGTTCCAGAAATTGTTTTTCTAGTGAGACTGTTTTTCCCCTTAGTCACCTAGTATCGGGGTCAAAGGATACTAGACTCATTCTTTGCAAACTCATCAGGACCTCATTGAAGAGGGTTCGTCTTGTCTTTGGTTGTATGAGCTCAAGGCTCAGGACCTGGTTTTGGTTGGACAGTGGAGGTGAGCTGTACATCTCTTCGCTCTTAGCTGGGTGTCTAGACTCGGGCTGGCCCCCAGTGCAGCTGGCAGACACAGCTGCCGAGTGTGAGGCAGCGGAGTGGCTGGGCCATGGGCCGTGCGTCTCAAGGCAGTGTGGTGGCATGTGGGCAGCAGGGGTAGGGTGCCGAGCGTGAGGTGCGATGGGAGCGGTCACCTGCCCCGTGAGTCAGACTGGCCCTGCTCCCAGCCCTTCCAGCTGGGCTTCGTTAGCTTTGAATTGTCGATCACTTCTGGTAGAGGGCTCGTGGTGTGTTGTGCAAACTTGCCGGTGACCTGACACGGGCAGGAACTCAGGGAGCAGCGTGGGAGCGCATGGGGCCGCCGCGTGGGAGCGCATGGGGCCGCCGCGTGGGAGCGCATGGGGCCGCCGCGTGGGAGCGCATGGGGCCGCCACGGGAGCGCATGGGGCCGTCGTGGGAGCGGGAGCGCATGGGGCCGCCGCGTGGGAGCGCATGGGGCCGCCGCGGGAGCGCATGGGGCCGTCGTGGGAGCGGGAGCGCATGGGGCCGCCGCGTGGGAGCGCATGGGGCCGTCGTGGGAGCGGGAGCAGGAGCGCATGGGGCGGCGGTGGGAGCGCATGGAGCCGCCTTGGGAGCGCAGGGGGCCGTTGTGGGCAGTGCTGCTGCTGCTGCTTTCTTTTCTGTTCGCATTCAGCCTGAGCCAAGAAGGCTCGAAGGGACCATAAGAAACTATTCTCTCAAGATAACTTTGCTCTACTGCATGATATTAAGCTTTCATAAATGGAGTAGGTAACTTTTTTTTTCAAATGTGAGAAAATACAAGGAAAAAATCCGAACAAGGAATTATTCATGTGCTACTTCGTATTTCCTTTCCAACCTGGGTGCTGGAGCCCCGTGCGTCTGGGCGACCTGGACTTGTCGGGTCTCCCAGTCATCAGCTGCTCATGATGTCACCATGCAGACCTCAACTCACTGCTCCTGTGAGCAGTTCAGAGAACATGCTCTCTTAGCAGAGGCTAGAAATGTACATTCTAGAAAGTTCTTTTTGAGAGCAGGAGTCATTTTATGTGCCACCCCCACTGTCAATAGGCACAAGAAACTAGCTTGGTAGATCTTTGCCCTTCCTTCCATCCTTCCTCCTTCAGTTCATTCATTCATTTAATTAATCAGTTCATTCAGTTTGTTTAATTCATTCACTCAGGACTTTTAGTGAGTGTCTGCTGTGTGCCAGGCATGTCTGTGAGTCAGTCACAGATCTCCCGTGGGTGTGGGTGCGGGGCAGAGACCAGGGAGTGGACCAGCTGGTAAACAGTGAATATAGGGAGTGAACATTCTGTGTGTGAGAAGGCGCGGAGCTCTCTGGAAAATACATGTAGATCAGGGTAAGGTGCGGCGTGGTCAGGGAGGACCTCACTGAGGGATGAATGGGCCAAGATTCCAGACAGGAGTAGTTATCAGAGAGCGTGTCTTGGCAGGAGAGTTCCAGGCAGAGGGAGCCACCAGGCAGGGCTAGCCGAGAAAGTGACTGGAGGTTTGGGCAATAGCAAAGAGCCTCCTGGCCAGCAGAGGGGGCGAGAAGGGCAGGAGGGAGAGTAGGGGCCGAGGTCAGAGAGGCAAGGGGGGTCAGGTCATTCTGCTGACCGGAAACCTCTCCCTCTGTGGGACCGTCCACTCACCAGGGGCTGCTCAAGAACGACACCCGCCGTGTCTTTTTCTTTTCCAGCAGCTCTCAGCTGGGGCCACGCGGCAGTGTCTGGAGAGAGTTCCGGTTGTCATTGCGTGGAGAGAGGGCGGGCGGCGCTCTTGGCGTCTGTGAGCTGGACGCCCCGCAGTGGACGCCCCGCACAGAGTGGCCACAGTAGTGCCGAGGCTGAGACCTGCTCTATGGGGGTTCCTCGGCTGTGGATGGATTTAGTCTGTCTTTGGGACTTAATAAAAGGAAAACGCTAAAACGTCATGGGGGTCACAGGAAGAGGTTGTCATCACGGCACCCGGTCACAATTGACAAAGATCATGCTGGCTCTGTTCACTCACTTTGTGGGAAGCAGACCCATATCTCGCTGGCATGTCCATTTCAGTCAACTCGTGCTTAATGGGCAGTTCAGAGAATCCAATACAGTGTTTCCGGGTAAATAGTAACAACGTTACAGATAATCTATGGATATGAACACCAGTAGGATTTTCTCATTTTGAAAGAGGTTAGGATGGTGAGTCACACAAGAGAAAATGCTTACCTGCATATTAAAAAACAAGTTCATTTTCAGTACTTGGAATACAAGGCGCTAGCATTTGCATGTGAACATGATGTTATTGATGGGAATGTTTTTCTTGAATTCCGTGAATGCAGTGCTTTTCATAAGCCAGTCATTCGTTCTGCTTTTTCTGTTTCGGCGTTATTTGTATACCATCTGTATTTTCCCTTGTGTCAGATAACCTTTTTTATTTAAACACAATTTAGAAGACTTGTATCAGTTGTTGGCATGAAACTTCACCAAAATATAAGACAAAGATGAAATAGCACAATTAAAATCTAGACAGACACAGTGGCCTGCAGATTCCTAACCCGAGACCTGCTCTAGTAGGAAGGGATTCACCGGCGTCTGGGAAGAGCTCACTCCCTGGTGTCAAGAGTAGCTTCCTCGGATTTAATCAGAGAGTGAGCCAGGAGTAATTGTCCCACTGTGTGATTCAGTGATACTGAATGCACCTTCCACGGGTCACATGTGGGGTGTGCTGTCTTGAGCCATCCATCGTTGGAGGCCAGGTGATGGGCTGTGGATTTGCAGCTTGGCTGCCTGGGGTCTGAGCTGCAGCCTGAGAGTGTGGAATCTCCCATGACAGCACGGAGGCCAGTTCTCTGTGGCTCTGCACAATGCAGAGAGGCAGCAGTTAGATGACCTGTCACTGCACAGTGCAGAGAGGCAGCAGTTAGATGACCTGTCAGTGCGCAGTGCAGAGAGGCAGCAGTTAGATGACCTGTCACTGCGCAGTGCAGAGAGGCAGCAGTTAGATGACCTGTCACTGCGCAGTGCAGAGAGGCAGCAGTTAGATGACCTGTCACTGCACAATGCAGAGAGGCAGCAGTTAGATGACCTGTCACTGCACAGTGCAGAGCGGCTGCAATTAGATGACCTGTCACTGCACAATGCAGAGAGGCAGCAGTTAGATGACCTGTCACCTCACAACTGCAGAGAGGCAGCAGTTAGATGACCTGTCACTGCACAACTTTCCCAGACAGGTAGCAGGTAGATGACCTGGTTCTGGATGGGACTAAACTGCTATTTCATTTCTTAAAATAAAACAAATTCTCATAATTCAGATTTCTTACTATTTCAGATGAATTTTACATCTCTTTCCTCTCTCTGCCCCTCCTTACACACGTAGTATGTGTTGCCAAAATTTAATTCTACTATATTCATTGTTAGGGTGATTGAATAGTTTTGAATAAGTCATGTACTTTATATTGAATGTTGGAGTCTATTATTTTATTTTGGCACCTACATCCAGTGTCTGACCTGCCTCTGTCTTTCCTGAAGCTGAGCTCTCTCACTTTGCAAGCAGGAGTGAATGGATTAACATCCCGACTGCTCTGTAACTCACGTGGGTGTAGCTCCAGGCAGCTCTGGGCTACTTGCTGCACCTCATTTTGGTGGAAACTAGATTTTCTCAGCTTTCTCAGAGCTGCTAGACTCTCATGAATTGAATCCTGGTAATCGAAGTCTCAGGAGACGGATTTCTATAGAAACCAGCCCTTATGAAGTGTCTGCTGCGTGCCAGGCTCTACAGGACATGGTCCCAGGGTTCAAGAGCCTCCGGGTTTAGCTGTGGAGACAGAAACCATCTACTTAGAGTTCATAACGCGCCACTGTATGTAAGAGGTTGAAACCTGACACCTGTATAGTTCCACTTGTTTCCCTCCTGTTTTGTGGTATACTTCTTATTAGATAGTACATCTGCTGGGACTACAAATTCCACAGTACGAAGTTATAATTTCTGCTTTGTATTGCTGTAGATCATTGTATATGTTTTGAGGAAATTAAGAGGGAAAGTAGTTTAAAAAATTTACCTACATATTTACAATTTCTTTTTCTTTCTTTCTTTTTCTCTTGTAGTTCACATTTGCCATCTCCAATGCTCTTGACTTCTTTTGAAGATGTTTCTAAACAGTATCACTCCTTTCCAGCCTGCAGAACTTCTCTTAGCATTTCTGTACTCCACATTGGCTGGCTGTGTTTAGAGGGTGTGTTAAAAATAAGTAATTGAGGTTTATATAGTGTTATCAGCCAGTGTACCCTCAATAAAAATAAATAGATAAATAATTTTTTTTTTATCCTCACCCGAGGACATTTTTCCATTTTTTGTTCAGATAGAGTGGGAGGGAGAGAGAGAAAGAGACAGAGAGAGAGAGAGAGAAACATCGACGTGAAAGGGACACATCGAGTGGCTGTCTCCCACACGACCCAACCAGGATCGGGGGCAAACTGCAACCGAGGTACGTGCCCTTAGCGGGAACCGAACCCAGGTCTTTCTGGACCGCAGGCCGACGCTCTAACCACTAAGCAGAACTGGCCAGCGCGATAAAAAATTTTTTAAAGTCAAAAAATTTTTTTGTTTTTTAAAAATTGACAGCATTTTTGTTTCATCTTAATTCTGGAAGGATATTTCACTGGATATTAAGTTGTGGATTGACAGTTTTTTCTTTCAGTCCTTTAAAGATGTGTTTCCAAGGTCTTCTGCCTCCATTGTTTTTGGTGAGGAGTTAGAGATTATCCTTGTATGTAATGGTTGTTTTTCTCTGATGCTTTCAAGATTATCATCTTTGGATATTAGCAGTTTGACTAGGATGTGTCTAGGTGTGGTTTTCTGTATATTTATCTTGGGGTTTGCTGAGATCCTTGATTCTGTACATTTCGTCCTTTCACCAAATTTGGGGAGTTTGGGGGCATTATTTTATCACCTTCATTCTGTTTTGTCCATGCAATGAAATTTTGAGTGTCGTTTTAGAATTTTTATTTGGTTTCTTTTTATGGTTAACATCTCTTTGCTAAGATTCTTTATTTTTCATTCATTGTAGGTATATTTTTCCTTTATATCCATAAGCATTGTAATAGTTGCTTTAAAATCCTTGTCTGTAATTCCAGCATTTGGGTTCTTTTAGAGTCAGTCTGTTTTGATTTTTTTCTATTTTAGCTAGTTCATGTTTTCCTGTTTCTTTGTTATTGAGTAATTTTGGATTGTAACCTGGATATTGTGAATATTATGTGCTATAAAATCTCTGAATTCTGCTACATGCTTTCAAAGAGTGTTGATTTCTTAGGCACTTAAATTGAGAGGTTAAATTGTTACCTCTGTCTCTCCTCCAGTGGATAGTGTCCCAAATCTCAGTCCGGTTCTCTTCACCTTTGCTGTGCTGTGGAGTTTGCCACACAAATGCATGGTTTAGGGGTCAAGACAGAGTTTGGGCTGAGTTTAATATAGAGGTGTCCCCTCGCTGATGTTTTTCTTTCTAGGAGTCCCCTCTTCTTTCCCCTTCCCCACACATGCACACTTTCTAGTGGCTGTGGTTGCTCTGAACACTGAATATAGCAACATAAACATTATCAGTGATATAATGTGCTCAGTGATTTAATTATAACACTGGCGGCTGATATCTTCAAAGTGCTTATGTATGTCAGATGCGATATAACTATGTCTGCGTGACTATCTGTCTATCTAATGTCATTTAATCTACACTCCAACAATCATCTGAGGTAGGCATTCATTTCGGGTGAGGAAACTATTCAGAGAGGTGAGCTATTTGTCCAGAGTTGACACACCTTCCAAGAGGCAGAGCTGGGTTTCACAGTCAGGTATTTTGACTGAAGATCCCACATTCCTGTTGATTATATATTTTCCTCTAACATTTTAAGTGAGAGATCTGGGATGTACTCTTTCAGTTTTCTCTGTTTTCTTTAAATGCTTTTTTTTTTTTGCTTTTGGTGTTCTACCATCTGAATAATCACTCTGTTCAGGGTTTATAATTCTTCAAATGACATATTCATCCTTTTTTCCACTTTGGAAAATTGTTAGCCATTATATCTTTGAATATTGCCTCTTCCTGTTTCGTGAGTCCCTCCTTCTGTGTTCCTATTGGATTACTCTTAGACCTTAGCACTCCGTTCTTCATGTGTCTTAATTGCTGTCGAGTGTTTTCCCCTCTTTATTCTTCTGTGCAGTGTTCTGAGTGATCTGTCAGATCAATCTCCAGCTTACCAACTCTCTCTTGAACTGTGTTGAAACTGCTATTCAAGCCAGCTACTGAATTTTTAATTAAATTGTCTCTATTTTTCATTTCTACTTGGTCCTTTCTCAAGGACCTGTTTCTCCCACCCCTCACTCTCCTCTTTTTCATTATGATATCTGATTTTGAATCCTCCTCATTCTATGCATAACTCTTTTATAGTCCATTTTAGGTTTTTCTAGTATTTCTAATCTTGGGGTGCAAATTCTTATTTGTTGTGTCTGCTCCTCTTCCTCTTCTTGGTGGTTTGTGACCATGTGCAGTTGAACATGGTTATTGCCTGCGTACCCTCAGCAGGGACTGTTCATGGAATCACACGCATGTGGAGTTGTGACAGGGTCTTTAGAAAGCTTCCTGGCTTCTTCCGGGTGCCGGGATGGAGCAAGTCTGCACAGGGACCCTCTCGGGCTCAGTGGGGCGCCTGCACTTTGCAGGTGCTATAGATTTGGACTCTGTGGTCACAGGTCGTGCAGGCCTGTGGTTTTGATTTTTCAAGAATGACTACCCTTCCTCTCACTCCCATCCTTACTGACGGCCCCTAACGACACTGTTTTATCTTGGGGACTTGCTTTCACTACCCTTATCTTTGATGCCCATGTGGGCTTCAGAAAACGGGTGCCCTAGCCCTGTATCTAGGTGGTGAATGTTGACCACGGGGGTTAACTTCTGCTAACTGCCCTCACTTTGAATTCAAGCTTCCTTTTTGTTACTGGGATGTCATTTGTGCCTTCCTATATTTTAAAACATTTTATCTAAATGTATGTGAGCTTTTATTTTGTACTAGTGTGAGGGGCTTGCTTTTGCTTCAGCCCAGGTGTGACTTGTCATGGTCAGTGCACACTTAGTGTGTTTTTCCCTCTTCCCCCTTAGATGGCTTTGAAGACTACGGTCCGGATTGTGACAGCATGCGGGTGACAGCCTTCTTGGACATTCCAGGCCAGGATAACCTGCCTCCCCTCACTCGCCTGGAGAAGTACGCCTTCAGCGATAACGTCTTCAACCGGTGAGCCCCAGCTGTCCTTCACACGTTCACACCCCCTGTTGTGTCTGGTTGAAGCTGACACTGCTGGTCGCTTCTCTGTGGCAGCTCTAAGGGGACTCATGATGAAGCGGCCCATGGGCTGTCTCCAGGGTGGGAGAGCGACACATCGATGGATTGCCTCCTGCAGGTGCCTCAACTGGGACTTGGGATCGAACCTGCAACCCAAGTACAAGCCCTTTCCTGGGAATTGAACCTGTGACCCTTCGGTGCATAGACCAATGCTCTAACCACTGGGAAACACGGCCAGGGTGACCTTGACTTGTTTCACAGAGAAAGCAGACACCGAGGCATGTCTTTCAAAGTCTACGATCTGCCCCAACTTGAAAGCATCCTGCCCTCCCGTCCCAGAGGGAGAGTGTGTCCTTGTCTCCCTCCCTCCATATATGCCTCTGTCTGTCTCCCTTCCCACCTGCCCCACACTCTTTCCTGCCGCTTACAGACCTCTGCACACCTCTCATCTGGACTTCTCCACCTGTGGCGCCCTTTCTGTAATTCCTGTCAAGACACCATTTTCTGTAAAGACTGGATGCTCCTCAGTCCCTTTTCTTACCTCCCATCCACTCGTACTCTAAAAAATTACATTCTGTGTCTTTACATCTATCAAATCATCACAGGCTCCCAGCAATTGCTGCTGAATGAGTCCAGTTATTATCCCAATTTTACAGATTGGAAAATGATGGTACTCTGAAAGGCGTCTTTTGATGAGCAATTCTTAATTTAAATATAGTTCACGATCTATCAATTTTTTCTTTTATGGTTAGTGCTTTTCATGTCATGTATAAAAAACGTTTTCCTCCCCCAAGGCCACCAAGATATTTTCTTGTATTGCTTTCTCGAAGTTTTGTTTGTTTTACTTTCCACATCTGGGTCTACGGTCCACCTGGAACTGCTTTCTGTCCTGTGTGTGATGGGAGGTAGCAGTAGGTGTCATTTCCCTCCATGTGCTATCCAGCGGACCCCGCAGCGCTAATGGAAAATGTGCCTGTTATCTAAGCTCTGCATCACCACCTTTGTCTCAAACCCGGCGTCCGTTTCTGTTGTTAGAGAACCTCTAGTTTATTCACTACTGTGAACAGTGCATGTCTGGAGCACATAGTAGGCTTCTGTGTGTACAGTGGCACACTGTCTCCATCCCTGCAGCTTTACCATTCGGTTCTGGTGTCAGGTGGAGTGAGTTCTCCCCACTTGTTCTCGTTCTGCACATGCCCCCACTGGGGATTAAACCCACAGCCCGGGCATATGCCCTGACCAGCAATCAGACCCGCTGGGGATTAAACCCACAGCCCGGGCACATGCCCTGACCAGCAATCAGACCCGCTGGGGATTAAACCCACAGCCCGGGCACATGCCCTGACCAGCAATCAGATCCGCTGGGGATTAAACCCACAGCCCGGGCATGTGTCCTGACCAGCAATCAGATCCGCTGGGGATTAAACCCACAGCCCGGGCATGTGTCCTGACCAGCAATCAGACCCGCTGGGGATTAAACCCACAGCCCGGGCATGTGTCCTGACCAGCAATCAGACCCGCTGGGGATTAAACCCACAGCCCGGGCATGTGTCCTGACCAGCAATCAGACCCGCTGGGGATTAAACCCACAGCCCGGGCATGTGTCCTGACCAGCAATCAGACCCGCTGGGGATTAAACCCACAGCCCGGGCATATGCCCTGACCAGCAATCAGACCCGCTGGGGATTAAACCCACAGCCCGGGCATGTGTCCTGACCAGCAATCAGACCCGCTGGGGATTAAACCCACAGCCCGGGCATATGCCCCTGACCAGCAAGTCAGATCCGCTGGGGATTAAACCCACAGCCCGGGCACATGCCCTGACCAGCAATCATCCGCTGGGGATTAAACCCACAGCCCGGGCATGTGTCCTGACCTGCGAAATTAAACCTGCGACCCTTCGGTCCCTGGGACGATGCCCCAACCAACTGAGCCACACTGGCTGGGGCTAAGAGATTACTTTTAAACTTTTAGAAATAATTTCACACAGAAAAGTCTCAAGAATAGGAAGAATTTTTGTATATCTTCTACTCAAATTCATCAGTTGTTAACATTTCACCACATTTGATTGATCGTTCTCTATTTTTACCTTTTTTTTTAGAGTAAGTTGTAGATATCATGTTGCCTTTCCTCTGAATACTTCATTGTGCATTTTTCTAAAAACAAAGACATTCACCATTTACTTGTATAATCACAGTACAATGATCAAAATCAGGAAATTTAACTTTGACACAATACTATTGTCTAAAGTAAAGATTTTAATCAATTTTTCCAATTGTCCTAATAGTGTCCTTTACATCAGGTTCTTTGTTTGTCTGTTTTGAGGCCCAGCATCCAATCCAGCATTACATGTTGCATTTCATTGTTGTGTTTCTTTAGTCTGCTTGGATCTCTAACAGTTTCTCAGTCTTTCCTGGCCTTGCGTAATACAGTTGACAGAGTACAGGTCGTTTACTTTACAGAATAAACTTACTCAGAATTTTAAAAATCCTCCATGAGGTCTGAAATTTATATAATGCTTCTTTCACATCTATTGAGATTATCAGATGATTTTTCTTCTTTAATCTCTCTTTTTATCAACTTTTTGTAAAACTTGTGTCAGAGGCAAATCAGCACACAGAGGTAGTTGGATAAAATAGACATATAAAGTCTAAAGCATCTTATGAAGCAGGTACCTACGTAACTGTTACTCAGGTCACCCTTCGAGTCTGCCTGTCATTCCTGACCGCCACTTCCCCCTGGCCCAGCGGTACCCACCATCCGCTTTTCATTTTTATCACAGCTCTGGTTTTCTTTCACTCGGTGTCTGCCTTCAAATAATATAGTTTAATTGTATTATTTCTGAACTTGAAATATATGAAATCCCGTAGGACATGTTACTTTGTAGTTTTGCATATAGTTTGAATTGCTTCTTCTACCACAGTGTTCAGAGTTATCCCTCTGCGTTGTTTTCTCGCTACTGTGAACAGTTCTGTGTCTGGGCGCACGTGGCAGGCACTTCTCCTTTCCTTTTTTTTTTTATTTATCCTCACCCGAGGACATTTTTCGATATTTTGTTCAGATAGAGTGAGAGGGAGAGAGAGAGAGAGAGAGAAACATCGACGTGAAAGCGACACATCGAGTGGTTGCCACCCACACGACCCAACCAGGGCTGGGGACAAACTGCAACCAAGGTACATGCCCTTAGCGGGAACCGAACCCGGGTCTCTCCGGACCGCAGGCTGACGCTCTAACCGCTGAGCCAAACCGGCCAGGGCCAGGCACTTCTGTATATCCAGGAGGGAGCCACTGTGTGCTGGGTGCCTGTACCTTCCACTGTAGTGACGGCACCAGTTTCCCCAAGTGGGCGCATCAGCTTTCAGTCCTGCCTTTGCCCCTCAACTTCTCTGCCCATCAGAATTGTGAGCTTTAAAACTTTTAGCCAATCTGGCAGTGTGGTTGTTTATCTGACGATATCACTTTGTGATTTTAATGTATGCTTTCCTTCTGTAGGAGTTTGAGCACCTTCTCAGATGTTTGTTTCTTTCTTTGTGTGAAGTGCTAGTTTCAGTCTTTTTTTTTTGGCGGGGGGGGGGGGGAGATTGGCTGTCCTTTTCCTGTTGATTTGTAGGAATTCTTTGGATATCCTAGATTTCCAACCTCGGTCAGCTCTGTATGGGAACCATCTCCCCTCATCCTGAGGCCAGTGTTTAGCTGTCCGTGTGGTGTTCTGTTAGGGGACCAGAACTGCATTTGTCCTCATTTTCCTTCACCCTTGGTGCATTGTGAAGCTTTTGAAAAATGTATCCCTCCACCCCAACAACATAAACATGTTCTTTTTATTGCTCTAAAGGTTTTAGTGTTGTTGTTTTTTCCCTTCACACTTAGGCCTATAATCTATCTGATTTTAATTTTGGTTCACCAAAGAGGGGTCCAGCTTCATTTCTGTGATTGTCACAATACTGCTTATCAAGAATACACTTTTTCCTTGGTGCTCTGGGATGCCACCTCTGTTATAATCCTGTACCCGTTTACGAGAGTCTCTGTCTGGGCTGTGCCCTCTTCTAGTGGTCTGTCTCTCTCTCAGCCAACACCACACCATCTTGACTTCTTTAGATTTGAAGTAAGTCTTGATATTTGATTGAGCAAGACTTCCTACCTTGTTTTCCTTCTTCGACATGACTTGTTACTCTTTTTCTTTTTTAATGTGCTCCATTTATTTAGGTTTCCTTAATGCCTCAACAAAATGTGATCATTTTCTCTGTAGAAGTTGTGTGCATTTATGCTGCTGTACTGTAAAGGAAATCTGTGACATCGTATCATTTTATCCAATAAAAGACTTAAATCTAACTGCAGTGTCATTATCACACTCAGCCAAGTTAGCAGTAATGCCTTCCAGTCCAGCAGTCTGCATACAGTTTTCCCGGGCTGTTCAAAATGTCTTTTTATGGTTGGTTGTTTGAATCATGATCCAAATAAGGTCCACACATTTCCTTAGGTCGATGTGTCTCTGAAGTCTTTTTTTTTGGTACAGTTTTCTCCTTTTGATCTTAAATCTCTTTAAATCTCGAATTGATTATCCCTCTCATCTTCCCCCTCCATCATTTGTTGAAGGGGTCATTAGTCTTGTAGAATTTTCCGCAGTCTGGATTTGGTGGTCATTATTCTCGCGGTGTAATTTAACATGTCCCTTTGTTTTCTGTAAACCGAAAATTACATTTGGAGACTTGATTAGATTCTGCCTCAAATCTTGTTTTTATTTTTCTAATTTTTTTATTTTTATTTTTCCTTTTTATTGGATTGATCGGGGTGACACTGGTTAACAGTTTCACAGGTTTCAGGTGCACAGTCCCACAACATGTCACCTGTCACTGTGTTGTGTTCACCACCCAAGTCAAGTCTCCGTCCACCACCATTCACCCCCGTACCCTCCTCCCCCTCCCCCACCCCTCTCCCCCGCAGTCACCCACTGT